ATGTTGTTTAGAAATTAAAACCTGTAGAGTAGAACTTTTTAAGGACAGATAGCTTGCGGTGAATCTTTGTCTTGAATATGCAGAATGTGAACCATAATCATGAAAGTCAAGCAGGAGCACAATGTTCATGGCAAACTTGTGGCCTACAATTACTTTCTTCTATGAAATATACACTGTACCCGTGTCACAATTCGCAATGATGAAATTCGATGAACATGTTGTGAAAGAAGGAGCACAAAACGCTTAAAGTTCAATGGTTGTTACTTGTACCTTACCTAATAGAATGAGAAGGCTGAGCTGGACATATCACGAGTGCAATCTATAATTAGGACACAGTTTCCCTTATAATTAAATTATTCAAAACATTCCCCTAGCAGAATAGTGGAAGCAGACCATTTCAAGGAAGTTAATCTTACACAATATCAGAATATAATCAATTTGACGATGAAAAAGGAGTTTGGTTCAGTAAATGGTTTCATAAAATCTTTTCTCTAACAACATCATGAGTAAATTACGAATTAAAATCTTATGTGACGGTTAAATCTGTCGCATTATTACCTTTTCTATAATAATGAATAGGTTTTAATAACTTGAGAAATTAGAGGAAGCTTCTTCAATAAAAAAAGGGAGTTTGATACGTTTTACATTTGTCGAATTGATACAAAGAATCAATTTATAGAAGCTCTCTGTGTAATTTAAATGCAAAGTAATTCTCAGCACCCTAACTAGCATATTCACCACGACACAATTCCTGTCGGTATATCCAGACCCTTTAACGTTACCGCTACATCAACGTACATCAGGGGTCAAATCTTTCAAATTATAAAGAAACAAAGCATGAGAGACAAATAACTCCGAAATAAACGAGGCACGAGATTGAAATGTTGCCAGAAAAGTCGAAATTTGCAACAATGCACATGACAAAAGGGAGTTGGTACGTATGCCAAAAGCCATGCTTTGACAGAAAATAGGCGACACTTCTATGTAAAAAACGTTTGATTCACACATGTGACTTCAAGTTCCGATAAGGGAACAGTCATCACTGCTTTTATATATATATATATATATATATATATATGATTGATTGTACATTTCAAAAATTAAATCAGATCATAAACATGAAATTAGGCACCGAAAATCTGTGTTTTTTTTTTCCTTTTGTGACTATGTAATTAGAGGACTCTTTGAACTTTCTTTGTTAATTGAATAAAAGTCTATCATCATCAAATTAAGGATCCTTCATTTTTAATTTATAGTTTGGTAAATGGAGATGGTTATTTCTGTTTTCTAATTACAATGTTTCACGTGGGAATGAAGTCATTCAATAGTTAAGCAGTTTAGTTCTATGGCAGTGGCTTGGCATTGACAGATGACAGCACTGGAAATTCCCGAGGTTACGGTTGGTCATTTATATTGATTTCTTGCAGACGAGCAGTCACATTAATTTCCTTGATCAAAGAACAAAATAGACTTGGCGGGCGGGGTTTTTACTGTTCTAGGACGTAAAGGAAAAACTATGAGCAAAATAAAATGTCCTGAAAAACATTAAGAAATTGAAATTACATTACTCTATTGTGCTATTATGCAGATTTCATTAAACATGCATTTATGTGCACGTTGGTTCTCAGGCAATAATAGAGCGGCAAAAATAGTAATTGGCCATCACATGCCCATGCCATTCTCAAGTTCCCCTTCGCTAGCAAAAGATTCTTTTCATTTTTTAACCACCTATTCAGACAGTAACTATTTCTAGAACAGTGCTTCTCATCCCTATTACCAAAATGTGTTCGCAGATAAGACGCATATGTTCACTGGCTGGGCGGCCAGCCAACTGAGCCAAGAGTCTTTTTAAGTGTTTGTGGACTTTTCAAATTGGGTTGGGCTGGACTTGGCATTTTATGGTTCTACGTATTCCAACACGGCTACGTTTCTAACATTTCTTTGGTTGGACCTGGCTTGGATTCAGTAAGCTAATGGCAAACTTATAAGCTAGAAGCCTGGCCCAACCCATAAATAAATACTTTCAATTTTAATGGGTGAAGATTGCCGATGATGGCCTTTGGATTGTTTTTCATACGGCTCGGCAAGATTTTTAATTTATATAATTAATAATTATTTTAATTATAATTTAATCGATATGTGATAACTTTGTAGACATGCTTATAAAATTTAAAATATCCAGCAATTAATGTATAAATTGATTTTCTTCAAAGTTTGACTCAAATAATTAGTACTAGAATTACCAAACAAGAATTAGCTAGGATCTCATTTGTGCGAGTATAATCCTTTAGATCCTTATTTGAACTTGCAATTGTCAAAGCAGAAATTCCAATTTCTAATCATCAAAATATTTTTGGCAAATTTTTTTAAATAAAAGAATTGTATTTCCTTTCATAATTTCATTCATTGTTAATTATAACATTAAGCCTCATGCACACATCTAGGGTAGGTAGTATCCGGTCCTTTAATTATTAATTAATGTCTGGAACCAAGAGGGTTAAGGTGCAATATTTTTTGGGTAAGTAAGAGCTGTGCGTTATCTTATAAGTACGACTGCAGTCGAATATTTTTGAAACATATTATCTTATTGTCAATTTTAGATTTTTGTTGGATTCTAATTTTGATATATATATATATATATACATATATAATAAAAATAACAAGCTGAATTCACAAATTTAAATGGATAACCCAACTGGTGCACACCATTAAAATCTCAACAATTTCACTACTCACTCTTGCAAGGTATCTTAGAGCTTCTTTATATCATGTTAGGTTGACAAGATGAAGCTAGAAATTTTTTTATTGTGGGACCGAAAGATATAATATATATATATATATAAATATATATATAATAAAATAAAACTAAAACTAGTTAAAAATAATAAATATCAATATAAAAATCACATTGACAGAAAAAGGTCAATTTTTTATTTTAAAAAATAAAAGATAATAATGCTTATAATCTAGATAAAAAATTAAAGAGATAAATAATAGTAAAAAATTGACAAAGAAATATATCAATGTAGGGGCCCAAATTCTGGAGGAACGAAAATAGAACTTTACTTTTCATTGTGAGTGAAAAAACACGGTAAATTATGGGATTTACAATAGCTAATGGGGGCGAGGGCCCCATCATGCCCCCACCGTAATCCAGTCAAAGATGAGTATAATAACCCAACTGGTGGAGTTCCAAACTAAGTTTTGTACGATTGACTAATTATCTTTCTCATCCTCATGATTAGAAGTACAGTAATTTTTTTTCGTTATTACCCAAAGGTCAAAACCTAGAATTGAAGCAGTAGATTAAATGGACCATACGACTTCAAGAAAGTGACATTTTCCATTTATCATTTTTTTGTGCGTCATTTTCCAGCTGTGATATTCTACGTGCGGACAAAAGGGAAAAATACTTTACTTGAAACGCATAAACAAGTAAAGAATTGTAACTGTACAGTAAGTCGGTGTGATTGGATACAGAACTGGAGATCAACCGCCACGACCGACTACGACCGTTTAATAATTTAAAAAACTTAAAAGTAAAATATTATAATGATATCTTTTTTATTAAAATTAAAAATTTTGAATAATTAAATTTATATTTTTAATTTGATATATTTAAATATTTATTATAAAGTACCAAAAATATTTAATTATTATAATTATTTTATATTTTTAAATAATTGATATAAAATTAAAGTTAAATATCTAAATAAATTCTTGAACTATATAAAAAAATCAATTCGGCTCTTATATTTTTATTACGTTCAAATAAATTCTTGAATTTTTATTGTAAATTAGATAAGCCTCTTTATCAACCGTTGATTAATAGAATCAACGATACATGTGACACTTTTATATTATGTGATCTATTACGTGGTAGATGATATGACATTAAATATTATGGATTAGAATTTAAAAAATGATATAAAAGTATCACATATATCATTGATTAATAGAAGTCAGTCAATGGTTAGAGAGAGTGGCTTATTTGATCTGAAATAAAAATTCAATGGCTTATTTGACTCGAAATAAAAATTAGTGGGTTATTTAAACATAATAAAGGATAGGGGCTGAATTAATTTTTTTGACATAGTGCAGGGGTTTATTTAGGTATTTAGCATAAAATTAACAATTAAAATTTTTAATTTAAATAAATTAATTATCACATAAAATAAAAAAATAACAAAATAAAATAAATTCTAAATTAATGTAAAAAAGTCTATAAAAATTAGAACAATAATGCTTAATTATTGAATACTTATAGCAAATCATAAATGAGGTTTACAACTTTATAAAGATAATAGTATAACAGATTTCTTACATATTTTTGAAAAAAAATGAAATAATTAATTCATAATTAATAAGGATGTGAAAGTGAAAGAAAATAAATATTTATTAGATATGAGAGAATATTTAAATATTTTATTAATTATTTTAATTATTATATATTTTAAATATAATTAATTATATTGTTAATATAAAAATATCATATCTCTCTAAATGTGAGATCTAGAGCAGTTATTTAAGCGGCTTTACCCAAGCGCCGACTCTGCCAATGGCAGCGACACTCGAAATCCTCTAACCTTGAAACTAAAGCACCGCCAGCCTGTTTGGGTGTTCCAAAATTTAAAACTCCCAAATGCACCAACTTTTCTTATAATTTAAATAATGGATTAATAGTATTCCTCAAAATAAAAATAATGAGTTAATGCCTTTAAGTCACACAAGTTTGAATTCAAACTTTCTCCCTCCGGAAAAAAAGTAAGTATAATTTAAGATCTTGACGTTTTAATGCTGATCCAAATTCCTTTAACACTGTCATATATTAAATTTCTCATTAATCTTTCCATACTTAAGCTTTCTTCTTGTCTTATATGGAAAATGTGCTTCCTTAATTATTACTAATTGGGATCACTTTATTTGGAAACAAGTTGAAGCATTGATAAATATCTAAATGTAGGTTGCGGAAGCTTCATTAATTCTGCAGCCCATGTTTCCGCACAGAACTCCAACGTGTTTCAACGAGTATTAGGCATGCGAGTTCCGATCTGTTTTTTCATTTATGCAAAACCCACTTGTAATAGTCTTAAAATTTAAACGCATTGGAAGGCCTGCTTGGTTAAGGTCTATGGAAGGGTTTGGCAACTTGGCGTTGACTTTCTCATTACAGCTTCATTTTTTAAATGGGCAACACTTTATTCTGCAGTCTGCAACGCGTATTCTAGTCAAATCTAGAGGATACTTGCAGTATTTTATCTCTACTAAGTAATTAACTACTAACATAGCAAACGCCACTGACATCTGTAACATACACTATAAATCTACCTTTTATGGAAAGCTGGGTGTTGAGGCTGGGTTAATTATCAATTCTAGCTCCCAGGATAACAATAGGTACGTGATAACCTAGTGGCGGCTCATGATATTGCAAATACATTACTTAATTTACGTTTAAAGAAAGTGAGATCATAAGTCAATGGATGTTACGTTTTTACTTGTTTGACTTGGCTGATGATATATACGAATTGGATTTCTTTTTAGTTTTTGCTTTTTCTGGCCATCAACCAATGAGCACTTCAGCACACATTAGTTTTCATGACTTTGATGGTTAAATCCAAAACATATGTAAGACTACCGTCTTTTTGAGCGTGTTGACTAGGGTGTTCTAGCTTGTTATTTTACAAGAAACCAAACTGTCATGGCTGGCAAATCCAATCCCAAATCCACCGTCAATTACCTAACCCAATTCTTGGGCAAAAAGGGTGAGAACTTTAGGACATCTCGACAAAATGTTTGGGCTAAGGTTGACGTACTTTTGAGACTTTGCATGCATCAGTCGCGAATGAGAATTGAGATCACCAAATCACCTAAAATTGAAAGCATTTTAGCTTTAAGACCATTGGGAATTAGAGTCATTAAATGATGAAACGTGGCCAAGGTGGCCGGGCGCTTGTTTTATGGTTCACCGTGATGAATGATCTTATGTTACATCACTTAAAGTTTTTGGAATTTTAATGATTTTATTTCAAGTTGGATTTCTTCATTTGTTAATTAATTTAAACTGAATGATTATCATAATTTGTAGATTCATTCATTTCGACTTTTTATGTGAAAAAGAATTTATAGACTTATTTATTTAGATTATTATTACTTACTCTACACGTGAGAAGAGATATCGAGTGATGTTATATATATATACTATATTAATTATATTTTTAATGATTTTATATTTAAGTTGAATCTTTCTATCTATTAAGTTGGATGCTTAATACAATAAAACAAACTCCTCAACATCACTAGCTACCTACCCAATTTTGGTGATATAATATCCATCTTCAATTAGTTTTAACTTTGTTATATTTGGTTTTCATCAACACATAGGGTTAGTGGTGAAAGATTAGGCTAAAGCTCATAAACATTTTGCACGACCAAGCAGGCACCGATGGAAAATTCCAATGGAATTAGGCAAAGTAGGACAATTCCCGCACCAAGAATAAAATTAGATGTTTTGGTAGTAGGTATATTGAAAACTCGCGTAACAGCTAGCTTGGCTTCCCCGATGGTGGATTAGAATTGAGGACATCATGCTCGAGGAGGACGACGCGTTTTTAATAAAGTCTTAGCAGTTGACTTCAATTTGTAAATGAATTAATGGTTTACCCTCTAAAATTCCCATACAAAAGAGACAGTGTTTTACTATATACCATGCTTGAGGTAGAATCTACCTACTTTCTCCCCATTATATAAACCCAATCCACTAACACAAATCCTCCCAAATCAGCTGATCAGCTCTCCTTTGTTAAAGAAAAAGCTATGGCTTCCATGCTCTGCTCTCTTCTTACAATATCTCTCTTCATTCTTCTCCCTTTATTCATCTCTCCTTCTCTTGCAGATGCTCCCCCATCTGATCCTGTCTCACCAGGAACCATTTGCAAGTCCACCCCAGACCCTTCCTATTGCAGATCTGTCCTCCCTAATCAAACCACCAATGTCTACAACTATGGTCGCTTCTCTGTTCGCAAATCTCTGTCACAGTCTCAAAAATTCCTCAAACTTGTTGATAATTATCTAACAAAATACCAATCCTCGTTATCAACATCTGCAATTCGTGCTTTAGAGGATTGCCGCTTTCTAGCTGGCCTGAACATTGATTTTCTGTTGAGCTCCTTCAAAACTGTCAGTGCCACTAGTAAAATTCTGTCCCCCGTGGAAGCTGAGGACATACAAACCTTGCTTAGTGCTATTTTAACTAACCAGCAGACCTGTTTGGACGGTATACAATCTACTGCTTCAGCTTGGAGCATAAGGAACGGCCTCGCGGTTCCTATGACAAATGACACAAAACTCTACAGTGTGTCTCTGGCTCTTTTTACAAAGGGATGGGTTCCTAAGAGGAAGAGAAAGGCCGCATGGCAGCCTAGTAGCAAGCAGCTAGCATTCAAACATGGGCGTTTGCTTCTGAAAATGTCGAGCCGTGCACGATCAATTTATGAGACCGTAAGCAGAAGAAAGCTTCTTCAGACGACTGATGCTGATGAGGTCTTGGTGAGTAACATTGTGACGGTGAGTCAGGACGGAAGCGGAAATTTCACTAGCATTAACGATGCTATATCTGCAGCTCCAAACAACACCAATGGTATAAATGGTTACTTCTTGATTTACATCACTGCCGGTGTTTACCAAGAGTACATTTCCATCGCTAAGAACAAAAAATACTTGATGATGGTCGGGGATGGTATCAATCAGACAATTATCACCGGAAACCGTAGCGTTGTTGATGGATGGACAACATTTAACTCCGCAACTTTTGGTAAGTTTTAATTCAAGAACCATTTAAATAACTACAAGTGAACTGCACAAATTTTCACATCTTCCTGTCTGACAAATATGAGCCTAATTAATCTGACAAAATTTGTTTAATATTACAGCCGTTGTGGCTCCAAATTTTGTTGCGGTAAACATAACTTTTCAGAACACAGCCGGAGCAATCAAGCATCAGGCCGTAGCAGTTCGAAATGGGGCTGATTTGTCCGCATTCTATAGCTGCAGTTTCGAAGGATTCCAGGATACTTTGTATACTCATTCCCTAAGGCAGTTTTATAGAGAATGTGACATCTACGGCACTGTTGATTTTATATTTGGAAACGCAGCCGTTGTTTTCCAGAACTGCAACATATATCCTCGACTCCCAATGAGTGGACAATTTAATGCCATCACTGCACAGGGCCGAACCGATCCTAACCAGAACACAGGCACATCGATTCATGACTGCAATATCGTGGCTGCTGATGATCTGGCCTCGAGCAATACCACCTTTCAAACGTATCTAGGGAGACCTTGGAAAGAGTATTCGAGGACTGTATACATGCAGAATTACATGGGAAGTTTGATACATCCTGCTGGTTGGAAGGAATGGAATGGAACTTTTGCCCTGAGTACATTATACTATGCCGAGTATGACAACAGAGGACCTGGATCAAACACTTCCAGTAGGGTCACGTGGTCTGGTTACCGTGTGATTAATTCTACCGATGCTGCTAATTTTACCGTGTCTGGCTTCTTGTTGGGAGACGACTGGTTACCAAATTCGGGAGTACCTTACACTGCAAGCTTATTATGAGCAACTAATCAACAGATGAAGTTACGTTCTTTCATTTTTTTTGTTGGGTCATTGTTTTTCTGATGTAATAAGCGCGAAAATACCTGACCTATTCAAGTTTACAGCTCGGTATTTGTCGATATTGAATGTTAATTGATATTTATACTTCGAATTCTTAATTGAAAAAAGCAATAAGGCTATTCACCTACTCATTCATGCTATATCTAACGTCTTCCCACGTTGATTGAACAGGACAAGAACACTGAAATGTTTGTGCTGGCCACTAAACTGCGAGCTAGTTGGATGGTTGCCTATAACTGACTGGGGGAAATTACTAATATTTAAAAGACAAAAACTCCATATGAGAAGTATTTTTTTCTCACATATATGTTTATAATTTCATCGAATATGCCAATTGATGGCAATTTCTGTACTTAAGGCTAATTGGAAGCATAACATAAACCTAACTATTTGTGAAATTTTAAGACTCTATGATTATATATTGAAGTTTGTTGGTGAATAACCGGATTAATTAATTGAAAGGACCCTGTTGTCGTGTCCAACTCTTAATTAATAATCAAAGAGCGTGTAATTGTCGCTTCCTTTAGAAAAAGTTGTTAAAAAATGGGCTCCTCGACATGCAATGAAGAGGAGTGTGGATTACATACTAAAACATTAATATTTTGATCAATTATTAATTTCTTTAGTTTTTTTGAGAGTTTTTATTTTGATTATTTGGCTTTAAAAAATTACGATAAGATCATCAACATTTATAAAAATTAATATTTTGATCACTCAATCACTAAAATTTAATCGATATTTGACATGAATTTTTAAAAACAGTTAATTTTGATCACCTGATGTGGACATGCCACGTGCAAGATGTATCGTAACATGACAAATGAGATAGCATGGACCTATCATAATTAAGGTTGACTAACTTGAAAAGTCACATTGGATAATCAATAGTTCTTAACAATTAAATGATTAAAATATTAATTTTTATAAATATTAGTGATCAAAACATGATTTTTTTAAAATTGAATGACTAAAACAAAAATTTTCAAAAAAATAAAATAAGCGACTACCCAAATATCTTCAAATTGGAAAATGACAAGTTTCCTAGATAAATCCACCAGGCACCAAAAAGGAAGTTCCTTGGAGGAACTCCAACCAACATTAAAATTGTCCAGGTCATTAGATAGAGTTTCCCCTGCAGACCTGTGTTAGTTATCCATTCCAATCATCTATAATTGGTTCTTTTTTTTTTTTCTTTTGTTCGTTTTTGAACAAATAATTGGTATTACAACTTACTTTGGAAGGAACAAGTTCAAGGATTTATTAGAAAACGTAATATGCATTTTAAGGTCACTGACAAAAGAAGAAATTTCATTTTAAATGGACGCGACAACGTGTTTGTTCCCCATCTTTCTTTAGGAATTAAAAATAAATTTTCGATCCCCATATTGGTCGATAAGCTTTATAGGACTATTCCATGTTCGATATATATAGGTTCGCCACCAAATGGCTAACCAAATGTTAGAAAAGTACTCTGTAACCTAATATTTATTATTATCAAGAAAATTGTTTTGGATCTGTCTTGGCCAATAGCAAGCTAGCCTCCTGCAGGCAGTGGTTTCTCTCCGTTCTTAGTAAAGATTCTTATCATCTTAATTTGCCTCTGATTAAGATGGGAGGATGGAAGGGGATGGGGGAAAATTTGAAAGAAAATTATTTTTATTAGTGTTTGGTTATAGAGAAAAGTAAGAGGAAACAAGTTAAGAGAGCTTATCATTTTTCATCCTTATTCATAAAACCAAATTATTTCAAATTGAAAATATTAAAGAATTGAAAGAGAACTGCACTGAGTCAAGTGTAACATATTAACAAGATTGTCGATAATTTTTTAAATTGTTTCTTTTAACCTTAACTTACAAAAAAAAATGATTTTCATTTTTTTCCCTTCTTTTTTCAATTAGACCAAGCAATGGACAGAATTACTTTTTCATCCCATGATCTTCCATCTTTCCTACCAAGCATTCCAATGATAAGAAAAAAATATATATTTTCCAATTTTCCTTTTTTTTTTTGTCCATTCTACCATGCCTCTGAAGAAGAGATATAAATTTAAGATCAAATTAATTAGAAAACTTAACGCAATTATACATTAACTATTTTGTTCTGTTCTTGGATGATGCCAATATATGCCACAGAATGTTTAAATACACAGCAAAACTTACCGTTAGTAGTTTTCACCTAAATAATTACAATAATATTGGTACAGGGTCCAAGAGCAAGCAACGATATCCAATCGTCTTCAGCTCCAAGAACCGGTATTTTGATCGCTTAATTATATCCTTGCAATAGCATTGACCTCTCATTTCCACAATTACATGAAACTTGCTAGCAAGGCAACACCTTAATTGATGCACCAGACTTTTAGCACCGTTAATTTGATTACAGAAATTATTATGAGCTAATAAAAGTAGTACAAACTTGATAGCAGCAAATGAAGCTTGGGGTTACATCACTTTGTAGCCAAAAGATTGACGATGTCCAAGGCATTGCTACAAAGTTTGAGAAAAATGTTGTTCCTACTAAACAGCTCCAATTCGTTACCGGGGCTTTGCTTGAGCCCAGACTCACAAGTGGTTGCATCGGTAATGGCAGCTTCCAACCAGACTTGCGCATCTTTGTAATCCTTTGATACCAGGGCTGCCAGGGAGTCATCAAGCTGCTGCGTCGTGGATAAGTAATTTTCCGAGCAATCCTGGAAGTTCTGCTCGACGGTAGGTTCCAAATTTGAGCCATCGAGTATCTTCTTGATGTAGACGGATGTGTCTGAGCCATTGTTGGAAGCGACCTTGACTGCTATCAAGGCAAGGGCAGCTAGGTCAGCGTCTTGGCTGGCATGTTCAGCCTCAAGGCTTGAGATACAGAGATCCTTGTATCTCGCCTTTTGACAGGCTTCAGCAATTAAATTGTTTTGATCAGCAGCATTTAGTAAGGGCAAGAAGGAGAGGCAAAGGGAGAAAGAAAAAAGCAAGGCAACACTATTGGTGATGGGCTTCATAGTTTTCTCCTCTAGTTTCTGGCTTTCTGCTCCGGACTTTGGAATTTTTGGAAGGAATCGTGATCTTAGATGGCGCTTTAAACGATGAATGAAAAAAATGTGGGATGGAAACTTGTTATTCAAAACAATGTTTAGTACCTACCTTCGTACAACACTCTGTCTAAAAATGGTGGGATGTTAAACAGATTCAGGAAAGAGCATACGACCGCTAACCCAAGACAGATGCGCTTAGCCACTCGTAAATGAAGTTGTTTCTGAGGTTGAATAAACGCGTACAACACGCTAAGTTCACTGGCTTCACATCCATGAAGGTTTAACAAATTGAAAATACTGGTTTTATATGCCCTATTTTAGACATGATTTTTTCTTTTTTTTTTTGGAAAGGGAAGAATAAGATTTCATTACTGTAAATTCCTTTACAAAGTCTACCAGCCCTGGGGTAGTGAGCAAGTAACTCATACCAGGGGACAAGAAACCCCTATCAAAACTGTTACCTGTGAAAGGAAAAAGAAACACGAGCAATTTATCCCAGGTTGCTAATGGGATCAACTTCCTATAACAATGCAAAGACTCCCATTCAAAACAAAAAGGACAAGGAGTCAAATAAGACTTATCGCACTACAACCCAGTCGCTATTTTCTACACAAAACCGAAAATCGATTTAGACTAGTAACTTAGGGGATTGCCTCATTGCCTTAAAGCGTCAGCAGTGCTACGCTTTTTTGGATGGATTGACCCAGTGATGCTTGAAAAGCTCGAAATCTTGTCTAAATCTGTTGCTAAAATGGCATACTACTATAGAAATGAAATGGGATATGGTGACCGAGGAAATCGAGGCAGTTCAGGAGAAAAGCTGAGACTTACGCAACAAGCTCAGCGACGCCATTCACTCGATTTCTCGAGCTCACTTCCTTAACTCCATGAAAGCCCTCGGAAAATCAAACAACAACGACGTCGTCGGCGACGGTAACCGGAACGGGTTCGTGTTGGTGAAGGACTTTCGAATCGACGATGGTGACTCCGCCATTCAAGAGGCCAACAGTCTCAATACTATCAGAACCGCTTTCGAGAATCTCGAAGACCAGCTCGAAATTTTCCAGACAGTACACACACAGCATCGGGCTGAGAGAGATGCTGCCATTGCAGGATTAGAACAAAGCCGGAAAATTCTTGCATTGAGATTGGCTGAGCACCATCGTAAGAAGTAAAAAGTAATTGATGAAGCTCTAGCTTTTGTGCGAGATGCACATGATGTTAGCCGTTTTGTTTCACCTGAAAACCTTTACAGTACACCAGTTAGTCCATCTGGCCTGGGGAGAATCTTGTGTCACACGGAGGGAAGCGCTCTAATATGCTAACCAAAGTTGTTGTTTCTAGTTTCAACTTTGCTAAGCAATGCCTAAAATTTGACCATATGGGTGGGATACTAAGCGATACAGCTTTATTCACTGTTAGCATGGTAGCAATGCTGCATCTGCATCAGATTGCTTATACAGAGCATCCAGCGAAACAAGAAGATAGCATCAACAGGCACAGAAATGTGAGAAAGAATTCTCAACTAGAAGGGCCTTCATCCTATGATCGTTTGAACCACTTGGATGTGTTTTCGGCCCGGGGCATGTTAGCAAAGAATTGCTCCTTTTATTTATATACTGTCCTAGTTGGAGCTGTTGTCAAAATGCTGATTGCCCTCGTTGATATTGTTGTTGAGGCATATCCTTGTAAGAAATCATAGTGAAGCAGGTAGTCAGTTTACAGAGTATTATGTTTTCCTTACCTCCACAATTCTCTGTATATCCCTATTATTAATTGATGCCTTGTATGTATATGCATGCCTAATCTTACTCTCTCAAAGAAAATGGCAAACAACTATATATTAAGAAAAAGGAAAAAAAAACTTTGTTAAAACAGTTACGATAGCCCACACATATTGGGCTTTCCTCGCGTGCTGTTAGGCTAAACTCTAGGCCAGCATTTCAATGCCATAAAACCAACCCAACTCCATACCGGCCCACCCCATCCAGAAAAGAAAAAACTCCGTCTATAGGCAAATAGCTTTTACGATTTCAATTATAAGGTAAAATTCAAAAACCCCCTTCCAATTATTTTAAAAGAATATTTTGATTTTTTTATTTTAAAATAAATTTTTATCCACTGTTAATATTCTTAATCAACTGTTAAAAAATCAATCTAATACTACATAAATATTTTAAACACAAATACTTTCTTTTATAAAAAAACATATTATCTCGTTTCTCTTTCAAAAACCTTCATAAAAAAAATAAAAAAATTTGATATGCTTTCTTCAAATTTTCATCTTTTTTATTTCGATCCACCTAAAAAATTTTGTAATAATCAATACCTATTTTTGAATTCCTTTTTTCTTCATGTAATTGAAGAATTTTCTCTTCTCTCTTTGCATTTTGTTATTTTTTTCTTTTTCTTTTTCTCACAACTTTAATTTTTTTTTAATTATTGTATTCTTATGGGACGAAGTTACAAAGTGTCGTTACAAGTTTTGCACAACATGCAACCCCCCTTACTATTGGTGTCAATACAAAATACCAACACCATCACAATTAAATGATTGTCAAACTTAAACATAATAACAGCATATACAATACCACTAATTAATAAGATCACCTATTACATAGACTTTTAAATTTTCTGTAATATCAACAAGGCCTCTTTACACCAACATAAAAAATTTCATCAGATTTTAAAAATTACAAGAATTGAATCCTGCACACAAAAAAAAACCTACACTAAGATCATCAGATTTTTTTCTTATCAAGATTTTTGGAAGAGGATGAGTAGATTTTTTTTTTCAAAAATAATATGCTTAAATTGAAAAAAATGTATATAAAAGCTATTTGTGCCTTTAAACATTTATGTGATATTGAGTTCAATTTTTTTAAAGTATTGATTAACAATGTTAATAGTCAAATGATTAAAAATATTACTTCAAAATAAATTATTAAAGTGTCTTTTTAGAGTGATTAAAGAGAACATTTAAAATTTACCCTTCAATTACACATCTTCTTTTAATAAATCTTTAATCTTTTTTTAAAATAATATTATAAAATCAGCATGTAACTTAACTAATGAAACAGAGGAATTTCTTTGGATAATGGAGTCTGGGTGACTTAGGGTCATAACTAATAACAAGATATATAAGTCGTAAAAAAGGGTAAAAAGATACGAAATGTGTAAATTATACTAGTATAACTTGATTTCTTTTTCTATAAATATAAATTATAATTTCTTTTAATGACTTGTGATCACTTTTAGTTTGTTGTTTTCATAATAATTGATATTTATATTAATATTTAAAAATTAAATGTCAAGTTTAGTGTCAAAAGTCAAATGACACCAATAAAAATCAATAAAAAAATTAATGAACAAAGGATTTTAATGTCTATCCCTATATAATTAATGTCTTCTTACTTCTTCATCTCAGATATTGAACTTACCTTTCTGGCCTTCACGCAAAAGTCATAACAATACATGTCAAAGTAATACTATTAGTCTAAAAAGATTTAAATGTCAAAACCACCTTAATCCTAGTACGACTTCAACACAAAAGTTTGCCTCTTTCACATTTCTCTCTCTCAAATATTTATGTTTTATCTTTCAATTTTTGATGTGCGTGTCTGCAAAGTAAACTTTGAAAAAATAGGGGTGTCTATGCCCACTTGCTAGTTATAGAAAAGCCTTTTTAATAATTTCTCAGTTCTCTTTATTATATAATAAATACATAAAAAAATATTTCAATATGTGAGTGTGCACGGCTCAAAGTTATTGTTCACGAGTTACTCAATCTTCTCTAATCAATAGTCAAAGTCAATGCTTTCGTTTGATAAAAGCTCAGTCGAGTTCAATTTTGTAATATTCAATTTCGAGTGATTCATAAATTTTTTAAAATTTTAATAATATAGATATACATATTTAAGTAAAATATAATATTTGTTTTATCTATTTTAAATTTTTATTTCAAACTTGAATTTGAATTGAGTTCCAAAATTTACTATATAAATTAATAATGATTAACCTAGATCAAGTTAAACTCGAACAACTCAGATTATTTTTCGAATTGAACTCTAATAAAAATAAAATAAAATTCAATCTCGAATTTATTGATAGGGACGAACTTAAACTTGAATCTGTAACAACTCACCTCTGACTCGTTTGCACATGTAATAATATGGGAGTATAAAATATCTAGAAAAGTGAACCTAAATGGCTAAATCTATCCACAAAAATAAAAAGGTTACTCTAGGATTTAAGATGGGCCTAAATTTTCTTGTGAGTTGACTTTTCAAAAGTACTAATCTATTAATAATAATAATAAATGGATCTTATATAAAAAATTAATATACCCAATAAGGAGAGAAATTAAGCAAGCATGTATAGTATTCCTTTATGACTAATCAATAATCGGTCACTTTGCTACTAAAAGGTGTTTCGTTGCGCATCTCATAGTGAAACTTGGGTTGACAATTGGAACTAGTTAGCATCTTAATTCGTCTAAAGTTTCGTACAACAAATAAAAATGTTGTTATAAGTCAAAATCTTACATTTTGTTATAATTAGCTTTAAATAAAACTTTAATCTTTAAACTTTATGTTTTACTTTTTAATTATATTTCGAAATTACTGGAACTAGTTAGCGTTACATCTGAAAAATCACTCTTTAGATTTGTTACTTTTCAGTCAAAGCAGTCCCTTCATTTTCAGCCCAGATTGAACTGCGGAGGCACATCGAACAAAAGTGTACAGATTTACAGCTAGAGCTACTCAAACCGTGCAATAATTGCCACGTTTACAAAAGCAAAACGCCAGGTGTCTTCAAGAACTGCGTCTTTTCTGACGGCGAGTCTTGTTTCTTTCCTCTCTTGCAAGAGACACCGGAATATGCCATTGTTGAGGACAATTTTTTTTAGATTATACTACTCCTGTCCTACCCAAATCCTCTTCAGACTCAGAATCCGATTACCCGTAACCGAGCCCGAACCCACATCCGCAACACCCGTTAATCTGTCTTCTCCAGTGGTGACCTCTACAAGAATTCCCAGCCCCCCTAGGTCCGATGTTTTCATGGGGCAACTCTCCGGCTTGAATGACAACGGCGAAGATGAAGACGACGAAGTAGCGGCGGAAGAGCTATTCATTTCAATATCTTCTCTTGGAGGCTCTGAACCAGCTGCAGCCACTGGAAAAACCGTCTGGTCTAATGTTTTAGGTGGATTGACCAGAATATCAGCTTGGACCGGAGCTCTGCAGAGTGGACAGTTAGAGTGACTATAAAACCACATGTCGATGCAATCAACGTGGAAGGTGTGATTACACTTAGGCAAAACGCGGGCTTCCTCGTCGTTCTCGAACTCGGCCAAGCAAACGGCGCATTCAAGTGGAGGGAAATGATTGGCTTTTGCGGAGTAAATAAAAGTAGGGATCGTTTTAATGACAGAAGGATCCAAACCTTTGGATGCAACCGTGGTCGAAGTAGCAGTGGAAATGGGGAACAAGTGCTGAGCACGACGGCGGATGTAACGGAGACGGCGGTTGCGGAAGAAGATACGAGTGTAGTTGTGGAAGCAGAGTATGATAAGTAATGCTACGAAGAGAACGATACCTGTGCAGAGCATTACTTTGCCATTAAGAGCATAATTAATGTGTTTCCTAGGTAAGTCTGTGTAGTCATCCATGAAAGATAGAGAAAGAAACTAAGGAAGGGTATGGGAGAAAGGAGAAAGAGAGACTGGTCGGCAGGGGATTTATGGGCGAGAAGCGAGAGAAGAAGGAAAGAGAATGGTAGAGGAAGGTTCCTAGTTGATGAGTTTGATGGGTATGGATTTCTTTGTCTTCGATTTTCGGCTTCGACGAGTGAAAATGGTAAACCTGGCTGGCTTTTATTATTCCATCAGCCGCCAGTTATCCTGAATGTATATCCTGTTAAGCCCGGGAGGTGAATTTACTTGTAGCCCAACTTCTGTACACTTTTTTGGAAAAAGGTGAACTCTTTTTTTATTTACGTTAATAGGAATACTAAAAAAACTTTTATTGAGAAAATTGTCAAAAATAATTTCATTGTCCATTTGAGGGATACTAAGAAAATTACTGTTAGAGGAAATTGTAAGAAATAACTATATTGTCCATTTCAGAAATAATTTTTAATATAAAGTTAATTAATTTTAACTAATTTTAATCATAAAATGATAAAAATACCTTTAAAATCATTTTAAACAAATTAAATACTTTTAACTTTTCTCTCTCGCCATTCATCTCCTTTACTTCCCATTTTACTGTGCTATCCATTTTTCTTTCTTCTCATCTAACTTTTTTTAATTTTACCACTACCATTATTTTTTTATTTATCTCTAGTCATCTAGTCATCAATTTATATATCAAAAAGTACGATATGAAAGGTAATAATATATTTTTGGGTTTATTGATTTACATTCATAAAACTCTCACTTTGTCTATTTCTCGCCATCTCATCATCAATCTATATCAAAAAGCATAACATGGTGAGTAATAATGGGTTTTTAAATATTAAGTTTTTTCAGTGATTCAAATTTGGTAAAACATATCTTAGTGTGTAACAAAGTGATTTATGTCTTGGTATATAACATCAATAAGAAGAGGTATTCGAGCATTTGGCTCATTAGTTGGTGCATTATCTCCCTACCTAAAGAGCGGAGTTTGAATTCACCCTCCCCCAATTATATATATAAAAAAAATTAGTAGGAAGAGGAAGCTTTAGTATGTAATATATGGTACTGAAGCCTTAACCTTTGCATATAACATCTAGTGGTAAAGCTTTGACGACATGTAACATCTTGTGGTGAAACTTTGACCTTACCATGCAACATCTGATGGTGAAGCTTTAACCTTGGCATTTAACATTTAATGTTAAAGCTTGGTATTGATGTGTAACGTCTAGTGCTGAAGTTTTGATGTTGCTTAATTTGTTTGAACATGATGTGTAATAATAACATTTTTTAAATATGTAACTTTTTTGTATCTTACTACAACATAAATTCTTGGAGTTAAAGTGAGTAACAATTTTTTTTTCAACTATAACAACATTTTTTATTAACCTGACCTAAAATAACAACACTTATAAATGTAATTTAATCTCTATCTTTGTATTTCAATAAGTTATAAACACTTGGAGTTAAACACCTTCACAATAGAGATAAAGTTTAAAATAAAAAAAGAATTTGACATGCAAAGGAAAATGTATTAAAAAATTATTCAACGTTAACATTACTACTGCGGTGAAATGGTTGGGATGAAATGGATTTGGATAAAAAGATACTATCAAAATCTTCAAATTTAGATCATTAGCTTTTAAGTTATTTTATTTGTTACATTTCCTATAATCATAAAAAAGATTCAGTACCGGATATTACATGTTAAAGTCAAAGCTTCAACATTATATATTACACATTAAAGCTTCCTTCTTCCTACTGATGTTACACGTCAGAGCATAAATCTGTTTGTTTCACGTTAAGGCATATTCTATTAGAATTGAATTATTGAAAAAACTTAACATTCATAAACTCTGAAACCCGTTGTTACACATTATATCATACTTTTTAGTTTGTAGATCAACGATGAGATGACGAGACATAGATAGAGAAAGTGTTTTGTGAATGCAAACCAATAAATACAAAAGTATATTGTTATTTTCATGTCATGCTCTTTGATCATATAATGAGATGATGAGAGATAGATAGAATGATAATACTTGTGGTAAAATTAGAGAAAGTTGGATGATGAGAGAAAAAAAAAAAAGCACAGAAAAATAGGGAGCAAAATAGAGGAATGGCATAAGAGAAAATTTGAGAGTACTTGAATATGAAGAGATTCATTGAAAGTAATTTTGTTTAAAAATATTTTTTTTTAATTAAAAATAATTAAAATTAAAAAAATTATTTTTTAAAATGCTTTATCTTTGAAGACAAAAAAAAAAAAAAATTTGTGCCTTACTATTACTACTATCTTGCTTTGACCGAAAATAAGTACGCAACGTCGAGAAGGAGAGCGTGAGCTCTCAATAGTTGTCTACTTAAATTGAAGGGTAACATTGAATTTTAAGCCTCTTGTGTGAGTTCAAGAGAATTACTATTACTACTTCCTTCTTACTTTAACCGAATGTAAGTACGTGAGGATAATAAGGCGGAGCATCGGTTCTAAAAAGTTGATTACTTAAACAACACGGCAATGTTAAATTTGAACCTCTTGTGTGAGCTCAAGAAAATTACTATTGCTACTTTTTTGCTCCATCCAAAGATAAGTACGTATATTTATTAAGTTACAATATTTTTCTTAAAAATATAAGATTTTTAGATCTTCATTTGTTTTTAGATTTAAAAAAAAAATAGGGTTTTTAGAGAACTACTCCAATTAAAAGAAATAGAAAAATGATAGATAAATCAAAAATATTTTTTTTTATAATTTCGATACCAATCGACGATTAGTTAATTTAGATTTTGGTTTTGTCATATGACTACGTCAGCTAATCAAATTATGTGTCACGTGAATAGAAAATAATAATTGATATTAAATTAATTATATTTTTATTCAAATTGAAGGACTTGTTTAATATAAAATAAAAATTTTAAAACTTATTTAAATATAATAAAAAATAAAATACAAAACTCTCCTATGATTTATGACCTAAAAAAAAAAGGAGAAAAATAACACTGCTCACGACGCTCCTAAGTGCTAAAGGCACAAGGTCTATCAGTAGCAATTTGGATAATATGAGCTGCCAAACTATGGGTGCAAACTTTCGGTGGTATCGGTATTCATTAAGGGCGGCTTACCAATTGGAGCTAACCAAATAAATCCAATGAGTCAACAATCACCCAAATAGTAGGATACAAATATATATTCAGAAAGTGCATGCAATATGCTATATGCAAACCCAACTTACCAAGTTGGCGAATAAAAACACAAAAAGGGATAGGATAACTGAATCAACTCACGCTCGTTAGAAAAGAAAAATGATTTTTTTTTTTTGTGATGAATCAATCCTTATCCAAACGTTTTGTTTCCATATTTGTAATGCTTTGGGGTCAGATTCTTATTTAATTTTAATCCATTACGTCATTTGCTTTGAATTATGTTTGCATATAGATTAACTGTTTGTATTCCTTCCTTCTTGTTTTCAGTCGCATCAAGGCGTTTTTGTTTGGACTAGATAGGGAACACTACAACAAATTTGATTTAAAGATGAATATTTCTAAAATATGTTATTTAAAAATATTTATAATGATATTTTTTATACTTTTTACAATATTTTTATAAATTTGACTAAATTGTATAAATGTTTAATAACATTATAAATAAAATATAATTATAAATATTGTATACACTAACAGACACTGCATTCTTTATATTACTATTAAATATGAAAAAAATGCAACAAAAAATTTAAATAATTAAATTTTTTAGGATATCATTATATAAAAAGATAGGTTACCTAAAAAAATGTAATTAAAGAAAGAATTTGTTGTAATAGTGCTTCAACTAGATGAGTTGGACTTGAATTCTCTACTGCCCTTGCTTGTAACATTGCAAAACCGTTTTTCCTTTTTGATACTTACAAAGCAAATTAAAGATAATAATAGGCAATTAAAGTTTTTTATTGACATGCAATTGTTTAATCCTATTCCTAGCTATTAGGTTAATAAAAAGTCTTCATAAGCTAATGTTAAGCTATAAAACCATGAAGTAATTACTACTAGGTAGCAAAAATATATAGATATCTTCTTGATAACTTCTTGACTCCGTCAAGTAAAATGTAATGGCTGATTAATGCATTAAAGCTTAAAAATCACCTCCTACTACCTAGAAGGCTTGGACCAATGGTCCAACATTGCTGCCTCCAAAACCTTGTGCCAACCGTTAAAAGTTTCGGTGGGTTAATTTTCAAGTGGGGAAAAGGACAGGAGAAGAACATCAACTTGCTTGAAGAGGTACAACATGCATGATGCCACGTTAATTGTTTTGAAATTACCCAAAGATTCAAACAAAAGTACGAATTAACGGTAGGCAAGAAGCCAAGGGCGAAGTGGTCTAAAAATAGGAAAATAACATAAAGGTGATTGATTAGGGTCATGTTCTTCCAACTCGTGATGCATGGAGACAATTTTGCAACATCTAGTAATTATTAAGAAATGTGATGAGTTTCGATTTTATAAATAAAGATCTTATTTTACTTAATAGTTATATTTTTTAAGTTGAAAATATAAATTCGTAATATCAGAGTAGATTCAAACTTTATTAATGTGAGACTCTTATAAGAGATACTAAGGTCAAAGTAAACTCAAACCAATGTGCAATCTCTCTGCTCTATGAGTAAAATAGTCAATGCAATGAGAGCTAAAAAAGTTAGTGCAATGAGAGCATTGCACAATTCAATGTGAGAGGATGATATGGATCCTATATTAATAAAAGGTCAGATAGGTCTTGGGTTTATAAGTAAAGACTTTCTTTTATCTGACAAGGATGTCTTTAGGATAAAAAACATGGACTTGTGATAAATAATATCAGCAAACTCAAATCTTCAAGGTGAATATAAATTTATAAATAAATATCTTTCTCTACCTAACAGATATGCCTTTTGAAATAAAAACATGAATTCATACCATTCAAAATGTACTTGACATGAAAATTCATGCCATTTATCTTGTTTGCTTGCCGTTATTGAACAAGGTAAGTGCTTCATCGGTTCAACCAAGAGCTCTGGCCCTTGATGCTCTCAATTATAAGGCTTTCAGGCTTTGATAAGACTTTAACAAGGTCGGTCGGCAAAATTTCACTAGTTTCGCAATTGAAATAGGTTTAAGTTCTCATCCAATTTTTTTCCTGGGATTGCTCTCTTATTTAAGCTTATATACATTCCTATCCCTTAAATCTCAAATTTACCAAAGTACTTAAGAAATGAGACACAAATGAAAGCTGTGGTTTGTTTTATTCATCTAAATATGCCATGTTTCCAATTCATATTTACCAATGTTTATGGGACTATTAAACCATATAAATGGAGGCAGACTTTC